CTCTCTCCCCCCACAGGCTTACAGCTGTTTTTATGGTACCATTTAGGAAAACTGATTTATTGAATTGGTGAATTATTACAGCTTCATAAAAATTCTAAAAGATCAGTATTTCAATATTTCGATATCTAAATATTTCATGTCCCCTCACATCTACATTCACGTCTTCCAAGTCACTTCCCTCAGTTAATAGTTTTTTTGCTTTTATATTCCTTATTCCAACCACTCGCTTTCTCTCAAATGAAGCTTAGCTGCTAAAATGATCACATGGGGAAGCGATGTTCCAAAGATGAACAAAAAAGGTTTGTACCGACTCGGAGTTGTCAGCTATAATTGTTCTAGATCAAATAAATTAACAATCATCCGTCAATCGTTATTAATCCCTCATCTCTATCATTCCTTCTATTTGTCAATACCTGCAGGCGAAACATGAGGGCAACTGCTCATTTTCAGCAGTTTGAGGGTGTCGCTGTTATTGGCCACCAGGACTTTGAGGGAGGGGTCGTCCACTGGTGTGTCATCGATCTTCAGGGAGGACAGGGATTTGGAGTTGACAAAAACCACCGTCAGCGCTGAGATGAAGTGAGACTGTTGAACAGTGCAAAAGAGAGAAACATTTAGTCAGCTCTGATCTTCAGTAAACATGGCCACCCTAAATGCTAGTTTTACGGACATACTGACATCAAGCAATTTGGCATGAAGACGTAATTGGCAACTACAATCTTGTTCCATTGTACATTTGCATTGCTGCCCTCTGCAGGTGGCAGAAATCATATCACTACTGCCTGTATATACATCCTTGTGCACATGCTTAAAATCTGAAACCCGCTCATCAAAACCAAGTACCTTTAGGCTTATATGCATTCATTTAAAAAAAACATGCAAATCTAAATAGGGTGAGTGCAATGTTTTCAGCTGACAACTTAAAGAAATATTATAGTCCTTCACACGAGCACTTGGCATTAATCAAACTAGCTGCATTCTAGACATTACAGCCTAAAACTGAAGCTCTACATCCCCTAGGAGGTCAGGTTTGAGTACTGTAACCACAATAATAAAGTACATTTCGTAATACCACAACTGTAACGGTAATCTAAAACTGGTGGCAACCAGGTGACCGCCAAAACGGCAGTCTAACCTTTGCCTGCAGAGCCGCTATAATTATCCTGCTGAGGCTTACCTTGGGCAGCTCCATGAAGCTGGGTCTGGCTGTGGAAATGAGCCCCAATGTTTTCAAAGAACAATTCACAAGCTGAGAGAGGATGTCGCATGCTGCCTCTGCAGACTCTCTGCTGCTGTCCACCTGAGCGGCACGGAGAGACAAAGTTTAAACCCAGTCACACTTTAGGTTGAGCAGAACAAAATTCGCCTCACTTTAACCACCCTAGCCACAAACTCAGTTCATACCTTGAAGCTGACATACTGCAGGTGGTTGGAGTGCCTTTTGATTATCTGTTTGATGAGGTCCGGGTGTGTGGCCTTCAGGTAGGAGCTGGCTGGCTGGTTCAACTCGAACTCAAAGCACCGCCACAGCTCTGGCATGTGAAAGGCCTGGTTCCAGCCCCGGCACACCTGTGGTGACAACAATGAAGTCAAAATCTAATTGAGCACTCACTGCTTAGCAAAATCTTTTACAGGGAATTTTATTTCCAAAAGCATTATTTTTCACAGGAGGGCTTGTGGCCAAAAAAAAAAAAAAGGCTTTTTGAATTCCCTAGGCAAGCTCTCGAAATGTGAGTGATGGGAGAGAACAGAAACAATTAATTCACCCTCAGGCAAATTGCCTTTGCCAAATGTAAAGAGTACAAGACTTGTTGGATCAGAAAAGAACTAGGTATGGGTGTATGTTTGCGTGTTTATGCCTCCCTAATTAGTTTTAAGAGCCCAACTGACTGCAGACAAAACAAGCATTATTGCAAAAATAATGAAAAATCATTGTAATTTGCAGCCTGCCTCATTATTTCATGCAGACCAAGATAAATACTGCAATCTTAGACGTATAACACTCCTGCATGAAGGCTAAGAGCCACCACATACCAATTATGATTAGTTAGTCCTTACAAACCTATTAATCCGACCATTTAGAGTGAGGTGAAAGTTGGCCACAATAAGTACTACTTCCCGTGTAGTGACTGATGACTCATTATCACATGGGTACCTGAGAGGCGTAAGCCCTATCCAGTAGAGGGAGGTACTGGAAGATGTGGAGCAGGATCTCCTGTGGCAGACACTGCCAGTGGGATCCCTCCCCCGTCACTTCCTTCTCCCTCCTCTGCTTTCGGGAGCGTTTAAGAGTCTCCTGAGACCCGCCGCTGGTGCCACCTCCGTCCTCCTGCTCACTCCCTTGCACGCCTCGTTTCATCCTGGGTAAACGAAAGAGGTGTTAACAGAATCCAGATGGTTGGGCCGAGTTACGGGAAAATGAACTATTGATTAGCAGTATTAATTATGCAGGGCCTCTTCATCAACAGACCTGACATGCTTGGCAGACTAAATTTTATCCCATTTGTCCTATTATTAACAAGCTTGCAGTCAGTGTCTGGGAGGTTGATGCATGCGGACACATACTGAATATATATATCTGTGAAATGACACATGGTTATATTATATATATATAACTATTTTCAGTATCATTAAATCTATGAATTATTTCTTGTTTTTATCTTGCTTTGCATTAGGCCACTGCTATTTAACTGACTGGATTAGCCAGAAACAAACATTCCTGTCCTCTAAATTGTCTATAATTTAAATGATGGTCCTTTGATTATTGTATTATTTATCCTTATGTATTGTCCAGACCCACTGGACACACCAGTGATCAACCTGCAGTACAAAAGGAATCATTTTTCCTGTTAAAAGTGTCAATAACCAGAGGGCTGTACTACGAAGGGAGATGAACCTACTCAGGTTTAACTCGGGGTTATCAAGGAAAGCCCGAGTTGACAAACTGTGATTGCTTACACTGATGTTACAACAGTACTACGACGATAGTGACTGAGATGTTAGTTTTGTTGTGTCATCTTAATCTGAGGTTGTGTGCGTTCACATGAAAGGAGCATGTTCGACAGCGCAGGAAGTTTTTTCATGTTTCATGCTTCATGCTCCATATTTGTCCCCAGAAAAATGTACTAAGACAATATCAGGATATGAGTTCAAAGACAGTCTAATGTCACCGTAGTGGAGGCCAACAAAGAGAGGGAGGCTTCCCTAAAGGCATTAGTAACATTAGTGTTCAGGTAGTAGGTTCTCTCTTTTCTCTTACAGACTCTTCTTTTATTTGTGATATGACTAAACACAACTGCGGTATAAATTTCCAAGATTGAAGTGGTAAATTAATGAAAGAAATAATTAATTTAGTTAATTAATTAACAGGGAATAAAGCAAAAAGTGAGCCTGAAAAGTTATCTGGGAGGAAATGTGTACAATGTATTGAATGAAGTATGATATGAATTTAAAACAGCCTGAAATCAGACATGGTGCCTGTGTGAATGTAATGCTACTGTTAAAATAAGTGAACACTGATCACCTTCTGGATTACAATAACATATATAATAAGTACAATAACAGCTAAAACTCTGGTCATAATAATACAGTCTCCAAGCACCTTATATGTTTTATCTGTTCACTGCACCTTATATTTTATATTTTAACTTGCACTACAATTATACTGCTTATTTATACTTTTTATACATTTTATATTGCTTTTTGATATGTCTAGGTTGTTCTCTTTACTTATTGTGTTGTTACTGTGTGTAATGCTGCTGCTACACTGCAAATTCCAGCTTGGGGATCAATAAAGTATATCTATCTATCTATCTATCTACTATTATCTATCTATCTATCTATCCCCTCCCCCACCAAAAACAGTTTGACCACCTCTCTCTGTTTTTACTCCCCAAGTTCACACCAGTCATCAAATGTGTGAAACCTTCAGTGAGAACAGTTAAAGAGTGGCCAGAGGGAGCAGATTCTGTACTACAACAGCAGTTAGAACTCACATAGTGGAGTTTGCCACTCAGGCCACCCTGGACACACGGACATTGGTTTGTGTACCTCCTACATCCTGGATTATACCAACATTAAAATCAGGAGTGTCAACCATCCTCAAACAGATTACGACATTCCCAAATCAGAAGCAGAATGTGGTCCGCCTACTTCTGAAGGCACAACACCACTTTCCAAACAAGTGACATGCAGGACTACAGTTCAGCCAGGGCTAACCTAAAGAGGGGCATCAAGTGGGCCAAACACAGCCAAAAGCTAAGGGTTGAGGGTCAGAATCAGAATCAGAAACTTTAAATAAATCCCAGAGGAGAATTATATAAATATACACTTCAACAGCATCCAGCTTAATTGCACGCTCTGAAAATGAGGACACCACGAAGCGGGCTGTGCTCCCTGCAGACCACCAGTCTATTACACTCTCCCCCATCAACATGTGTGCTGCACTGAGTAGGTTGAACAGAGTATGAAGGACGCCATCTTCACTGCACTACACTCCACTCTTTCCCACCTGGACAATAGTAACACCTATGTAAGAATGCTGGTTATCGACTTCAGTTCAACATTCAACACCATCATCACCTCACTCATCACCATTAAGCAGTGATCTTGCCCATCAAACCTCCCTCTGCAACTGGATACTGGACTTTCTAACCAACAGACCCCAGTTTGACCCACAAGCTCATTGTGGAGTTTAGGAAGACCAAAGGCAGCATTCCTATCCCTTTCAATGGAACAGAGGTTGAATGTGGGACCAGCTTTAAGTTTCTGCATGTCTTCTTCGAGGATCTCTCTT